TGAACAATAATTAAAATACATTTAAATTACATAGGGAGAGTGGTTCCATCTATCGCATTTAATTTAAAATCAGTGTAGATTACTCTAAAATTACAGGTCACTGTAGAATAAATTCATGCACATAACTTATAATAACATTTTCTACGTATGATAAAACGTCTCAAACTAAAATATGAGTTCAGAATTATTTAACATTAAAAAAAATGGTTTACGAGTTTACAAAACGTCAGATCTGCAGCTCAGCACCGAGCTCAGTGTTCTATGACTATAGCTATACCAAGTTTTAACTAAAAAGTCATAAAACCTAAACAATTAATTTTTAAAATAATATTTTACTTTTCTATTAAATGAGTTTGCATCTGCGATTTTGCTGGAATTGTAATATATTTTTGTAGTATTAAGATAATAGATACTTTTTTTTTGCCCGATAGTTTTTAAGAGGTTACATTTTTTTCAATTGTCGATAAATTTTTAAGAAATTGATCAATTTGGACATTAAAATGATTCGTTTTTTAGTAGTTTTCAAAAAACGCATTTTTAAGGATTTGTGGGTCCATTAAAAAAATTCCAAAAAGTTAAAAGTGTTTAATCTTGGCCCCATCGCGATGCATCGTAGGCCAACTATTTTTTAATTTTTTTTTTAATTATTAAAGCCTCAATATATTGTTTAAAAGCACTAGAAATACACGAAATATTGTAACCCATAATTTAAGAAGAAGCAACTCTTTACCTATTGGAAAAAATAAAAAATAAATTTTCTAAAGTATCTATTTTTTTACTCAAAGTTTTTATAATAAAAACTGTATTTATTTTTTTCTGTAACTTAAACAATACCCATATTAAAAACTCAAATTAAGGAGGTTCGGGTAGATTATTTTAATCCATATATATTGTAACACAAGAACGTAAATTAAAAAAAAACGTAAAAAAGAATTTAAACTCGACAACATTGCGAGTTGTAGATAGTTGTTTTCTATGGTAACGATTTTCGCTTTTGAAAGTGGCAGTGACAGTTCTATATGAAGTGTTATTTAAAATCTAAAAATTAGTTTTGAAAATAAATTAAGTCTATTATAAAGAAAAAAATATTTATAAGGCAACAGAAAACATATACTACATGTTAAATACAGCGAAAAGCCAAAGAGAAGAGAAGAAAACCATAGAAGTTAGAAGGATCGTCTTATTATTAAAAAAAATAACTAACTTATAATAAATAACTTAATAATTACAATTGTGTTTTTCTTTAATAATTTACTTTAAAAACCAAATAAAACAAACCAAATATCTCTAGATAATCGCGTGTTCGTAATCCAGTGTTGCCGGATCTTCTAGACGAGAATGACAGATTAATAATTTTTCTGGACATAGTCAACATTATCGTTTATTATTGCAAATCTTTGCGAATCTTCTTAAGTCAATTTGTTTTTGAATACGTTTAAAAAAAATCGATGGACCCACACATCCTTAAAAACTCGACTTTAATAACAAAAATTGGGCAAAACACCATAAAAACAAATAAAAACACGAAAAATTTGAAAAAAAAAATTCCAAATCGAATAATTTTGTAAAAAGATATGGACGATTAAAAAAATCGCAAAATTTAAAAAAACTTACATCTCAAAAACTATCGTTCTAATACATATTTATAGACACTTTTTTATATTCTTAATAGACATGCTTTTTGAATTTGTAAACTAAATGTTTAAAACATGAAAAATGGCGAATGCGCCACGCTTAATTTAATTCTTCTATTTAATACCTAATTTAAAATTCCAAGAGATTTTTAGCCGTTTTTTCTTAAACATTACCCAAGAAGTGCTTCTGTTTATCACTTGAAAGCGTCACGTAGTGAATTTACAAAAGTAAATACTCTATAAAAGTATAATAAGCATTTAAATTCTGTCAGACGTTCCCGCATAAAACGTAACCGTTTTCACTTAAAAAAAACTCCGAAATTATTCCAAAAAGCTCTACACTGGGTATAAAATAAACAATAAATTTTGTATTAGATACATTTATTTACAAATGTTTTTTGCGTTTTATGAATGTGACAACCAAACACAAAAGCATTTCGGGTGTCTGCCGAATGTCCTTTAAATAAAGTCATTAAATTAAACCTTTTTATCATAAGAGCCTCAAGTATACTTATATACTCTATAGAGATTTATTTCTTAAAATATAAAGTGACTATATTTTCTATTAGTTTAAGGTCAAGAAAAATCCCAACAACTTTTACGTTTTTTATCGCTTTTTGGTTAAACTTTTTTTTTAACATCCTATTAATAATAGATATTTACAAAAATTTAATTAAAATATTTTTTTATTAATATTCTTACTAGAGAAGACAAAGAAAATTACATAACCGTGAAACTATTTCACTTGAAATACTCCAATATTTGAATGTATTTCATACTGAAACGTTTTGTTTTATTTTAATAAATATTCCTTAATAATAGGAAAATGTTTCTGTCAACATATCAAAACTGCTTTTCAACTTTCTCAAGCTTTACGGCACATTTCCATTGGGAAATTTTGTCACTTCCAAATTTTACATGTCTTTCATCTTGCTGACACATACAACTAATAAATTGATCAAAATGCGCTGGTATGTTATAGCTTGAAGAAAACGTGATTAAAAAATTTTAGACACTTTATTTATTTATTAATTTTACTAAAATTCCAGAGTTATTTATTTAAATGTAAAATAATTTCAAATATGAAGCACCTCTTGACCTATATGTATAGGCATAATTGTAACTAATTTAATTAACAGTTATACTGTTAATAAAGTTTTTGATTTAATTAGCCAAGTATACGGCTAGAACTTCATATTTTCTTAATTAAAAAGACAAAGCGTCTAAATTTGGCTTGTGTATTTCATTATTTATGCTTAAATATACAAACATTTGGGTTTATTACAATTAAAGGTATGTGGTATGTTACATTGCAAAATTATATACCTGTAGTTTAGACAGGAATTACAATAAATAACGCAGAACGTTGTCCCTGTTTTAACAGTAGCGCGATTTAATTAAATATTTCTGTTAACATGAAATTTTTATTATATAGTTCAGAAAAAGATAACACACTACAAAAAATATAAACATAAATTGTGCTTGTGCTAAGAAAACACATTTTGGTTTTCCGACCTCAGATTTTCAAGTAATTGGGTCGTTTTCAAAAAACACCCGCCTTCCGCTGTCCGTAAGTTTGAATTCCAATAACTTTGTTAAAAATTATCGGATCTTATTGATTTAACATCCAAGTGAAAGCCTAACAAGCCCTTAGTAAACTCTTACAGAAAATGTTTGTTTAGTTATTTCAGAATAATTTTATTTAATTTTGAAACTTGTGAAACACACATTTTTGAATGTCCCATTAGCGTTTTATAAAACTTACATACATGTTTTTTTTTAATATTGAATAACCAGAACTTTGTGTTGCTTTTTAGCAATCCATAACATCCTAAGTTAATACAGTAAACAATATTTATATAAAACAAGTCATTTTAATATACTGTTTTTAAATTTGACATGTCCCAGACATTTTTTCCGTTGCGTTACGTCCGTCGCGTTACCGATAGAATATTTAAAAAAACATATATATGGCAACTTTTTTGGCACTCACGTGATCCACAAATGATGTTCGGACGTTCACATTAACCAGCTGAATTTATTTATTCAATCAGGAAGAAGATATCGGTTGAAACAGGTGCGGGTAACGCGAATATAATAATTGTTTGTCCGCTAAGTTACTCAAAAAAATAATAAAAATAAGGTAAGAAAAAATACTATTTTTCATGATTATGTTTATTTTAGGGCACCAAAGCTCATTGAGAGTAATTAATGACTGTAATGTCTTATTATTATTTCTTAAATATGGTTTCACAAAACTTTGTCCACTGCGTTACCGAGTCCACTATGTTACCTTATGGTAACGCAATGGAATTTAGGGTCACGCAATAGAATTTTTCGACAACAAAGTGGATATTTACCGTCGCTTTTATTAAAAGTAGTTTATGATAAACCAATTTAAAATTATTTGTGATTACAACTCACGATATAGATTATATCCAAGGGAAAATTCCACGCAATATACAAGTACTAAAAGGGACCTTCACCAGCTTATAGACAAAGAAAAAGGGTGTCTACAATTTAGAAATCTAAGTTGTTATTTTGCAAGTGAGCACCACTACAAGGGATTTTGTTTATGCATTACTCTAAAATCATACCACCCTATATAGTTTCTTTTTAACGTTATCTGATTAAGTCCTTTGTGTACTCCAGTCCGTTGTGATACCAATGTCTATTGCATTACTTTTTTAGTTTTTGTTAAAAAAAATACTTAAAATGATTTTTATACACTATCACTTGGTAATACGTGTTTATAAATTACAGTTTAACTCACTAATACAGGGACTAAAAGAAAATATTAATGGTATTGTTTTTTTTAACAAACAATCGGAATGGTTTCTTTAAAAAAGTAACTTAACGAACATTTATAAACATTTAAAAAAAGCATACAATTTTTAATAAAAAATAAAATAAAAAATTGGAGTCAAAAGTTTGTGAACTAAGTACATTTTAATTCAAAATATTTACTTTTTTTATTGAATTAAATTTTGGATTTCAAATTGGTAACACAGTGGAGATATACATATTACAATATTAAACAAATTTTTCTGAAGAAAACGTAAACAAATAAATAAAAAGTGCACTGCCCGTCTTAAATGTAAGTAAACAAAACTCTAAACATTTATAAAAATCCAACCAAAAGTCAATTTAAGCAAACAAAAATTTTGATCTTTATTTTCCCGAAAGCGGGTGTTTCTTGAAAATGACCCAATTATAACCTAAAAGTAAAAAAAAATCGTTTTTTCGAGAATACGTTCCATTGTTTGCTTTTTCACATTTAGTTTGAAATTACTCGAAAACCTAACGTAATGATTAAACGTTTATGATTAAGAAGATCATGTCGTTACTTTTGGCTGGGGTACTCACCAGTACTTTCTGATCCCAATACGTCAGGGCACGCCTGATAGCCCATCAAAAGTTTGCTATCATCGGTGCAGCTATCTATGCTGGATACTGGAAACTTGCACTCCCCATGTCCCCTATTGTACGTAAAAGTAAAGGGGCCCCTAAACGGGCATGGCTCTGGCAGGGCGTTTTCCCTGAACAGGGAAAAAAGAAGGGCGTCGCCTGTTATCATACTGCAGAGATGTGGAAGGGCTTCTCTACTATGACAAAATGCTGAAAAAAGAAAATCTATTTTAATAATTTTCTATATTATGTCCACGGGGTTACAAAGAGGAAAAAAATATTTTATCTGCTCCCACTATGGTAACTAGGCTATTGTTACATTGTTTTATAGCAGGTAAGTTAAATTTACCGTGAAAGGCTGGTTCATTAATTACGTGAGATAAAAATAGGGGGGAGGGGTCTAGAAAAATCTCACCAAATCTCATATTAAGGGAGGGGGTCATTAAAAATCTCACGTCAACTTTTGAATTTAAAAAATATGTATAATAATTCAAATTTATCAAAAAAAGTAATCAATTTTTATTTTTTGGGTTTATCATGTGTTCCGCAAAAAAAGTTTAATGGCTAGAATCTCACGTGAGGGATAGAGGGGGGTCTACCACATCTCACCAAATCTCACCAAGGGGGAGGGAGGGGTCCAAATTATCAGAAAAATGCCTCACGTAATTAATGGATGTCCCCATAGATTAAATTCTATGGAAATTACCTTTTATGTAATTTCGGTTTATTATAACAACCTATGTGTATAAAAAAAGTATATATAATCTTTGGTGTGTTTTTATGTATTTATTATTCTGCAAATATGACTTCAGTAACACGTGATTCTTCAGAACTTGTCAAGAGATTTACCAGAAAGGCATTGTATGATATCCTTAATGAATTTAAAGGAAAAAAACTGGATGACAAGTTTTCGTTGATGGAAGAAAAACTTGTGAAAATTACTAAATACCCAGATAATAAGAAAAGTGTTATAAGTCGCGAAAGCTACGAAGATACAGAGAAAGAAAAAACTGATGAAAAGGAAGAAGAAGCTAGCGAAGAGGAAGATGAACAGTTTGTCTGATTAAGGTTAATTTAAGTTATGTTTATATATTTTTTTTAAATAAACTCCGAACTACGATCAAATTTTATTTTACCACATTACAATAAATATTTTTTGTAGGCCTTGTAAAAATTACAATCCAATATTGTATTTCAAATGATTACATTGCAAAAAAATGCAAGAAATAATTTTGACCGGTTTTTTCAACAAATACTCCTATGTGCGTCGCACAGGTATTTTGAGCTAAAACGTGGCCAAAACTCAATTTTGTTAATTATTACCTTTTAAAGGGAACACAAAATTTAATGTATGTTTAATTTTAATATTTTTCTTGTATTACTTGCATGTAAGTAGCTACTTTGTAATTTTTTTATAAATAAATTTTTGAATAGGTAGGTACATATATTTTTTATTTCTAGTTAAAATACCTACTACCACTTGTATACCCTTAGAAATGTGGTTTTTTAGTCTTTTGATACAGAAAAAGTGACAATATTTTTGGCCACGTTTTAGGTCAAAATACCTGCCGCTAGGAAATTAGTAACACAATTAATTAAAACAGGGTTTGTTTTGGACAAGAAAAAAGTAAAAACGAAGTATGATGACGATTATGGGGCCACCGTACTGGTATTACATTACACGACAAATTACAACAAATTCATCTCTTGTCTCTCAGTAAAAGATCTTTAGAGACTGGATGTTAAGCAATTCCCCTATTTAGAAAATATTTAGGCGAAATAAAATTGGAACATGATGATGAATACAAATTCGAATCATTAAGCCCTACTTCATTGATGGTATACTGAATTAAAACTCCTTTATGGAATTATTGCAGAATTGTTTTCCTTTAATTTATTACAAGGTTCTTTCAATAAGATGGTTGTCCTGCACACAAGTCTCGAATCATTCGGGAATGGTTCAGGGACAAGTGGATAGGCAGGAATGGTCAGCATCCATGGCCTCCACCTGATCTAGCAATTATGGATTCTTACTTATAGGGACGATTAAAGTAGATCGGTTGTGCTAAACTGTTCAACCATGACGAGAATCTGCTGAAGGATAGGATAAGAAATGCGATTCAATTGTGTACCCTTGAAGAGATTCATAAAAGTTATTTGGATTTTAGGTTTAGAATTAAAAGTGTGCTATATTGGGGGGTGCATTGTCTGAATGAGTTTCATTCAACCCAGGTCAAATTTGAAATTTCTTTTTACTTCATAAGATAAAAATTAATGGCATCCATGGAGAATTCTCGGGAGGTTTCTACCCACCGCACAGTGTTTCAATTCTCGGCAAAACCTAAAAAATTTACATTTTTTTCACATAAATTTTGAGTTAGATGGGTAGTTAATACCTATATCCATCCTGTATTGAAAAAAAATTATATAAAATACGTATATTTTGTCTTGTACATCAGTTTAAACTTGACGCCTTCAATTGAAGGTACTTTACACGCGATCGCTGCGGAAAATTGTTTATTGTTTAAAAGTGAATAACTTGTGTTTGGTGTGTCCGATTGTTATGCGGTTTGATGAAGGGTGATCTTCAAGGTATCTAAAATTCAGATATGTAGGTATTTGTTTTTCGTAGATTTTGCTTGTACAACGGGTTATTGTAACCGACAAGATCGGTTTGTTAAAATCGCAAATTTTGAATCGAGCTTTTAGAACAATGGAGCTACAAAAATTGTAATGAATTGTAAGGCATCAATTCAAGATCCGTTGAATAGCTTAGAGTTTTGTCTATCAAGCCATCAATAAATTAGCTGCCCCAACTTGCCCCCAGCTCTTTAAAACTACATGTTCTTGGGCGCTCATGCACGGTTGTGGTAAAAAAAGTGATTTAAAGCCTATGTCGAGCGCGTATCTATGTTTTTGCTTTACAAAATATAAGATTTTTTTTATTTCTGGGTTGCGTTCATGAGGTTTACTCGATTCACTCGGATTTAACTCAAAACGATTATTACAACAGCGGTGTCTAGACTTTTACTTGCGTAAATCGTTCGTGTCTACTAAGATATTTAACAATGATTTTACATATTTAACCCACCTCTTGTGGGTGCGTTAAAACAACTCCGCATGCGCATTGTAGAGTGTTAATGTCAAATTTGAATTGAGGTTATTTGTGCTGACAATTTTTTTAGCAGATCCAGTGACGGAGAATGTTTAATATATATGTAGGTATTAAATAATATAATATAAATGTAATTATAATAAACTTAATGAAGCTATTTTATAAAAAAATCTTTTATTTACATTTTAAAAAGAACCTCTTTAATTAATTTTGACAATTTTTTGAAAAAAATGTCCTCAATTTTGAATTTTGGAGTTCTGATTCCAGATTCGTTATCAGCAACCCCAAAAACCTCTTTATACGGATTTTCAGGAGAATCCGACTACTCCTTGATATTTTGCCGAAAATTTCGAGAATTGAAACACTGTGCACCGTGATAATAACATTCATTTGTTGGAAAGAAAATGAGAAATGAACTAAAACGGATCAAAAATTATTTTTATCAACAATATACATAGTCATACTACTTATACTACGACATCAAATTCTAGGGAAGATTTTAGAAGGAAATATAAAAATAAAAAAATGAAAACCTGTTAAAACAAAAAATCGTTATAATTTCGATATTCTTAAACAATACTGAAAAAGTTACACTTTCATCTATATTTTTATCTAATTTGTATGATTTTTCGCCTTCTTGATTTTAAATTGCCACCACCATCTTTTGTTGTCCCTATGGCCGCCATATTAAAATTTTAAATATAGTTTTTTAAATAAAAAATATGCAAGGAAGTATGCACATAGAAGAATTATTATAAATACTTAATGCACTCTGTATAAAAAAATTAATTTTATAGTTTACACATCCTATCCTGGACAAGAACAGTGTTATTTATTAAATTCGTTTATTTAAACATTCATAAATATAAATTTAAACATTTGTAATGTTAAAATCATTTATTATAATAATACAATGTTACAAAAGTAAATTCCTTTTACTTTAATAAAACTTTTATCTAAAAGTTATGTTATCTATCTAGTTTAATTTCCATAATAAACGTTTTTTCCATTTCGTTTCAACTAATAATCATGATAAACCGAAGTTAAATAGCAACTTTTTCCATTACGAAAATACTAGATAAACATTTTGTTTAGAAACTCTGTTTACTGATAAACACACTAAATCATTTGCTTCAATTGGATCCCATTTAAACCTCGCTTTTCCATGTAGAAAAAATATAAACAAACAAATTTATAACGTGAGGGATAAAACGTTTTTTTGCTTGAAAGTAAATTATAAATTTATTTTTGTTAATTAAAAAGTCCATAGTGTTTTAGAGTTTTATTAAGCTCAGTGTCAGTGAATATATTACTTTTAAAACTTTTGCGCCAGTTTTTTAAGTTTTATACTTTGGGTGCTTTAAGGGCTTGGAAAAGTTTTAAAATTTATAATTTTTTAAGCGATCTTTTTTCAATAAATCAAAAAATAAAGTTGGACCAAGAGTTTTAAGTTTTATAATAAATTATTTCATATTTTGTGTATGTATGAAATGGATAAATTTAATTTAATTTTAATATTAATTTTCTGCAAATGGTACACATTTATTAACATTTTTATATATTAGTATGAAATTTAATTAAATTAACAAATTGAAATTAATTTAATAGAATGGTTTTACCATGTATTTGTAAATTGGACATTTTTGTAATTGAATTTGTTTTTACCTAAATATATATTTGTGAAACTATAGTATAGTAATATATTAACAATAAATATAATTAATTGAACGATTTTGGTGTTTACCAAAGTACTGTTAAAAAATGTTTAATATTACAACAATAGTTTTGCATTTTAATTTGCAACTAATAAAGCCAATAAAAAGCCAATTCAATGACAATAAAGCTTTTATAATTGCGGTTTTCGAGTAAAGCTTATTAAAATTCGAATTATATTGGTAATTTTTGTTGAAAATATAAATAATTAAAATATAATCAATATTATTATTGCTTTGAAATTGAAAATACTTTAAATATTTATAATATTTAGTGGTTAAAATCTAAATCTGTCTAGATACATATGTCTTTCAAATATTTCATCTATGCGTTTGTATCATGTACGCTGTTCATCAACAAAAATAGAACGCGTGTCGTTTATCATATTTAATGATTTTTTCTTTGTATTATTTTATCGTATAATTTTTCTTTTTCTCTTAATATATTAAGAGAAAAAGAAAAATTATACGATAACATAATCTTTAAAGATTAATCTTCAGAGTTTTCTTAAAATATGACTGTATTTTTAGAAAATATGCGATATGTAAAAATACCTTTAACTCTAAAACAAAATTACTGCAACAGTCGTTTTGTAATATAAAAGTACATTAATTATTAGGAACAGAATAGTAAGAAATGTTTGGCGGACAATATTGGAGGAGATCGGTAAACTCCTTATTGTTTAAGATTCTTATACTATTTTTTGTACGACGATTATAATTTCTTGAGTATTTATATTTTGGCCACGTTTTTTATCAAAAAACTTTTAAGTATATTTTAATTTATTTGTTATGGATATATGTATTAACATTTCTTACTGTCATTTTATTGTCAAACGTGCGGGACCAGCTGTAAGAATTTTTTTTTACTGATAAAAAAACTGTGAGGGATTTTGAGAGCAAAAAAATACAGGCATTGAACAATCGTGGAAAAAATCACCAGAGAACAAATATTAGAAAAACACCAAAACAAAACACAACATTATTATCAACATTATTATCGAAGCAGCTCATGAAACTATTGGCAAAACCAAAACAATTAAAACACACTGCCCAGTACCATGGTGGAACCCTGCCTGCAAAAAAGCCATACAAGATTGTAAAGCAGCTTTTAACAAACTTAAACGCCAAAACACTGAGGATAATCTATGTAATTACAAAAGACTAAGGGCCCACGCACGATATTTAGTCAAAAAAAGCAAAAAAGACTCATGGCAAAAATTTATTAGCACAATATCATCTTCTACAACATCTACTGAAATTTGGAAAAAGATTAAAAAAATTCAAGGAGGAAAAACAACACACAAAATCATAAGTCTGTCAAAAAACGGAAAAACGACAACAAACGATATGGAAATGGTTGAAATATTAGCAGACAGTTTCCAAAAATGCTCTTCAAATAATAACTACACTAACGAACACATAGAGGAAGAAAAACAAAAGGACCTTGACATACTACCTGACTCCACACCAATTAATAATCCCATCACACTAGATGAACTGGAGTTTATACTTAAAAACTTAAAAAATACCAGCCCTGGCCCTGATGACATACCAGCAATATTTTTAAAACACCTTCCACAAAGTGGTAAACTATATCTTCTCAACTTATATAATAAAATACTAAAAACCAGAATATTTCCTAAGAAATGGTCAGAGGCTATTATAATACCTATAGCCAAAAACAATAAAAACATTAATGAACCTGAATCATATCGCCCAATAGCACTTACCTGCACAATGTGCAAAACTTTAGAAAGCATTCTAAACAAAAGACTAACGTGGTACATAGAACAACATAACCTAATCTCCAACTTCCAAAGTGGTTTTCGTAAAAACCGATGCACTTTAGACAATATTTTATATTTAGAATCAGAAATTCTCGAAAGCTTTGCTTTAAAACAAAACCTAATCGCAATTTTCTTTGATATAAAAAATGCCTACGACACAGTTTCAAAACGAGACGTACTACTAAAATTAAAATCCATAGGTATAGAAGGAAACTTTCTATACTTTATTAGGAATTTTTTAATGAACAGATTTTTTAAGGTTAAAGCAAACGGATGCTTATCGGAAAGTAGACGCCTTGATAACGGATTGCCACAAGGTTCAGTACTTAGTGTTACACTCTTCATCATATCCATAAACAATATCGTCGAAAACATACACTTACCAGTCAAATATAGTCTCTATGCTGATGACCTAGTTGTATTTTCCAGAAGCAAAAATACAGAATACTCCCAAAAAATACTACAAGACTGTATTAAAAAACTTGAAGCATGGAGCTCAAAAACCGGTTTAATATTCTCTGCTGCTAAGACAACAGCTGTGCTTTTTACCAAAACTAAAAATCTTAACTTTACACCAAAACTTACACTTTACGACCAAACCATTAAATTTACAGATCATGCAAAATTTCTGGGGATGTATTTCGACAATAAACTAAACTGGGAAATACATATAAATAAACTAAAATTATCATGCCAAAAAAGTATTAACATATTAAAAATAGTTTCAAGACAAAACTGGGGTACCGATAGAGAAACACTTTCAAAACTATACAGAGCACTTATACGATCAAAAATAGATTATGGATCAATTGCATACTCTACAGCAAACAAAAAGGCATTAAAAAACATAGACGGTATACATAACACTTGTCTTAGAATTGTATTAGGGGCCTACAGAACTACCCCAACTGAAAGCCTATATGTCGAAGCAAAAGAATACCCCCTTAACATTCGTAGAAACTATCTTAGTTGTACATACGCCGCCAATGTAGCAGCAAACTCATATAACCCAATGTTCCATAATACCTTCTCACCCAGATACAACCACCTTTTTCTTAATCACCCCCGAATCAAGCCACCCTTCTATAATAGAATCCATAATCTTCAAATGAAAATACCCTATAAAAAAATCATACCCTACAACCCCCTCAGCAAACCACCATGGACCATGGAAACTCCAAAATGTAACCTTTCTCTAACTAATTTTCCAAAAGAAAACACCAACCACGAATTCCTAAGAAAATTATTTTATGAAACAATCGACAAATACCAAAACTATCATTTGATCTACACAGATGCCTCTAAAGCAGCCGATGGAACTGGAGCCGGGGTAACAAACCTTCAAGAACACCATCATTTTAACCTACCACCCGATCTTAGCATTTTTAGTGCAGAGTTATATGCCATCCTTGAGGCTCTAAAAACATGTCTTCATAAAGAACCCTTGACATCATTCTTAATCATATCTGACTCGCTAAGCTCCTTAACCGCTCTAAAACAACTATACCCATCTCATCCCTTTCTCACATTCATAAAAAATATCCTACATCGACTTAAATCTCATAAAAAAAATGTTGAATTCCTATGGGTTCCATCACACGTCAATATACAAGGAAATGAATCCGCAGATATATTAGCAAAAGAAGCTATTAGAATGCCAAACACACGCACCATAAATGAGATTCCCAAATCCGATATAAAAAAAAGAATCAAGGATGAAATAAACAAAAAATGGAATGAGCGCTGGCAAACCCAAAAAAACAACAAACTTTTTAAAGTTACCCCGAACGTCTTATCTTCCGTTGAAACCCCTATTAAAAGAAAGGACCAAATAGTCTTCTCCCGTCTCAGGTCCGGCCACACAAAACTGACGCACGAATACCTTTTAAAAGGAGAAGTCCCACCCAACTGTGAAAATTGCCAAGTTCCACTGTCCATAGAACACATTTTTACCAACTGCCGAAAGTATCAAGCCTCTCGAGACAAGTTCAACCTACCAAAGGACATCAAAGAAATCCTCTCCAAGCCTAACATGGTCATCAACTTTTTACATGAAATTAACATTTACAACAAAATATAATGTACATATACTAATACAATACTAATGTTATACATATGCTAATAACCCAAAGTGGTTGATGCATTTTTACAAATAAATAAATAAATAAAAAACACAACGTGCTTGAAGTACTTTTCTCCAACGATGTTGGCATCTTCAAAAGCGAAGTGAAGTCAAAACCGCTATTAAAATACTTATACAACTTTCAAAAAGTGGTTTGAAGACATCAAAGGAAAGAACTTATACGACAACGTTGGCATATTTTCTCCAAAGAAATGCAAAATTGAGATAACGCGTCAGTAAGTTAAGAACTTACCGATGCGTTACTTCAAGCAACCATTTTAAAAAATCAGTGGTTTACCCCCTGGCAACCAGTAAACACAACCTACTGATCTATAAATAGATTCCGGAAGTCATTCCAAATAGCCTGTTCGTACAAAAAACACATTTTGCCCTGAATACTCACTTTCTTTATATTGCAGAACGTTTGTGTGTTTTTCATGTATAACGACGCATCGATAGCACGCTCTTTTCCTGAAATGAAAAAAAATAAATTAATATATACATATATTTGCTAAAAACCTGTAATTTTGTATATTAAACAGTGGAATCATTTATTATTTAAAATTACGAACTTATTAATAAACATAAAAAACACGATTTACCGTATTTTTTAAATTCTCATTTTATATAGGATAAGGTAAAGAATCATAAAAGCGCGCATTTATGAAATACAATTTACTATAGAAAATTTTCTTTTCTTCCTAAAAGAATCAGCTTTTTCTTTGATGTCGTAAGTATTGGCAATGTGGTTCGGTTTTCTAAGAATTTCGTGAAAAATGTTGTAAGAATTGTTAATGATACTGTCAAATGGGAAATCAGTCTTATTTAGATGTCATAGAATAAAAAAACTTGTAGAGGCAAAATATATACAAACATTATTTATTTTCATAATAAATATTTGTTTTAAAATGTATTGAAAATGTATTGGACAATAAATATAATTTTGCCTCTAAAAAATTAACAAAAAGTGTACCTATATTGCCGGACCCTGCAATCAAAAACATCATTTTTATCCATCCTACACAGTAAAAGATATTTGTTAATTTTAACCAGATTTTATGTTAATCCAGGTTCACATAACTTTAAGTTAAGTTTACAACCAATTGTAATCTTTTAACTAATTGAATAGTTTGCAATTATAACAAATTATCTCAAAATGTAACTTTTCTGTTAAAATTTTGATTATTTATTAAATTATTTTGCCTTAAACCTTTTCAGTATATTTTTGACGTTTTTGGTCAAAAATATACAGGCACTCCATACAAAGTCATCGGTAGATAAATGTCAAATAGAAATGTTTTTGTTCCATTGTAGCCGTATACTATAGTAGTATTAAATACCAAAACTAAAATTATTATGTTTTTTTTGGTAAAAAGTATCATTTTTTGAAATATTTGTGTCGTTTTTTTAATTCTTAATTAAATTGAAAAGGCAACAAAGTAAATGGGTTTTGGTATAAGCATTACTTTTCGACTATTATTTGATATTTTTTTAATCACATTATGCCTTATTTATTAAGTCTTATCAAAATTTTATATCAAATTGAAGTATAAACGCGCCTTTATCTACTTTATCGTTCAAGCCCATTAAAGTGCATCTATTAATTATTGACATTTAAAATTTAAACTTTAAATTGTATTTTTACTTAAAGGTGATTTTAAGAACCAAAAATTAAAAAAGAGCAGGAAATGGAAGTGGTAATGGAAGAGGCAGAGAAAGAGAAAGGAGACGAATATTTATGTCGTCGTTGTAAATTTGCTTTGTTTTTGTTGCGGTACCTTTACGCCCAAGAAAAACCAACGCAATATTTCATTACAAAATTTTATGAGATATACCCACTACTTTAATTTTGCAGGAATATTAAATGGACCTGATATACGACGTTTATGTTAAATGTTCTTGGTTCATATCGGGCCTAAAATTGGCGCCAATTCATTGAAAAAATCGTTTTGTAAAGAATTAGCGTTAATATGTCATTTAAAATACATTTTATTTTATTTTTCATCCTGATAAATTTGCCGAACTGATGAACATGGAGAACGATTTCACCAAGTAACTGCAAATCTAGAGCATTGGTATATATCTATTGGTATATATCCATATATGGGTATAGCGGAAAGAAGTTGGATTCATTGCTAGGAGACATTTGCTGGAATTTGCAGCAAAAGATGTACGACGATGATGAGGATAAAGCACAATAATACTATAATCCAATTCGATATTTGATACGATTTAATAAATTTAAGGTAGAAAAAAGCAAAATTATGCAATGCATTAAATTTTAAAGGGCTTAATTTGTATTAAGTAATACTGAAACTTGTTAACTTTGTTGCCCTTTCAATTCAATAATTAAAATAAACGACAAAAAATGTCAAATAATGGTTGTTTTTTACATAAAATACATTAAAATTTTAGTTTTAGTATTTAAAATGTCATATTGTTAAGATATATATAATCTGTTTGTTGTATACCAATTACTTCAGTACTTTCAAGATAAATTTAAGCCAAAATAATTTAATAAATAATTAAAATACTAACAAAAAACTTACATTTTGAGGTGAGGCATTTTATTATTACGAAATTATTTTAAATCCTAGACGTCCTAGAGAAAAACTAATGGACTTTTTTAAATCAGCGGGCCAAAATTAGTTAAACTAAGCTGAAGTACTTATTGTTAGAAACAAAAGTTTATAAAACTATCATAGTGTTATTAGTACTACTACAACACTTACTGATGTATTTCGTAACTTTAACCCACTCACTGTATCCCCTAATTTCAGTTTAAAAACCAGTGAGGGCATCTTTTTGGATACTCTTGGATACTTCGCACTTCGCAAACTCGTTAAATAGGTATAAGGAATCCGATTTACAATATTAACAAATTTCTAATAATATATTATAAACACTGGACAGTTGTTACGAACACAGTAAGTTAAACTTGTCGATGCGTATTGTCAGCAGTGTTGCCAACCTAGGGATTTTTTCCCCAGATCTAGGGATTTTTTCGATTGACAGGGAAATAGGGAATATTTTGCAAAATCTAGGGATTTTCAAGCATTTCAAATAAATGTCATTTAAAAATATGAAAATATTAAATATATTTTCAAAATTATTTGCTTAATTTAATCCTTTCCAATAACGACAGGATGACAACTCCGCTACGGACCTTAGAGTGAATTCTACGCGATCCTGAAACTTGTTTCTTTGGTTTGTTTATTTGATTTATGCAACCCGAGATACAAACACTGATATGCAACCGGCTCAACAAACCTATAGGTTATGTGTGCTTTTGCTTTTATGTACTTAAAGAGTAAAGAAAGTATTTTTGTTTGATATAAAGTTATGACATTTTAGCCATGGAGTTACAATGGAGTTCCGATTCAGAACAAAGGTAGGTTTGTGCTAAGTTACACAGATAAAAAAAATAGCTAATGTATTAGGTATATAAAGCAATTTTATTGAAATAGCCCTGTATTTAATTTAAAAAAAAATCAATAATTCGGCTTTGAAAACTAGGGAATTCTAGGGATTTTTGACGCGTTAATCTGGGGATTTGTTAGCTCATCTGGTTGGCAACACTGATTGTCAGTGGTAAATGTTTTGATTGACTGCAGTGGCGGCTCGTGGGTGTACAGGAGGGTGAGGCTACATAAGGTTAATTTTGTCTAAATACGAATAAATTTCCACGTCACCCGGGAGGTATTATTCTGCGACGCGTTGACCTTTTTTAAAATGGAGCCGATAGCACTACTAAACCAAAAAATAAACTCTAAAAAACAAAACAAACAAAATATCACATCAAAGACTAGTTTTAATCTTAAACTTAAAATATAGTCTTAAAAAAGTTAAAAATAAATAAATTAATCTAAAAATAAAAATAAAACTAAAAAGTCGACCCCTACCTAAGTATTAAAAAATATAAAATACTATACGTCTATCTTTTAAGATTGAAAATTTATCTATTATTTGGTCGTAAAATTGTGGGTCTGCAGTGAGATTTAAAAGTTATTCTATATTTTCAAACCGCGTCTCTAATTGAAGAATTATGCAATCTATTATATCAAAATATAAAATTTGCTTAATAAAAACTGCTAAATCTACCTTAGTGTGTTCCCTACAATAATTAAATAAGAAATTTTACTAATCGAGACAAAAACTATAAAAGATCAGCCAAAAGTTTTAAATAATTTTATCTGAATCAAAACAATAACGTGCTCTACAAACGCTAAGAGAAGACTGGCAACCTTCTTTGTCTCCGCTGGCATCCCACCATAAACGGACCACCAATCAGAACAAACCAAGCCAACTAAATTTCGCCTCATCTACGGTGTTTATTCGCGAACTTACGGCGATATTTTTGTTGGTGAGTCATTTTCGCTTTCAAGAGGTAAATGGGAGCTTCCGAGGCTGTGAAAATTTCGCCTCTGTCCAAGCGACTCAACGATGCACGTTAACTTGACGCGCTTTGCGCCTGGATTTTTATTTACGCTTAATATGATTGGTTTTTTACTTTTTATTGGGTAGAACTGTTGTAAAAATACACTTGTAATAGGCAAAAATATAAATACAAAAAGTCGTTCGTTCCTTTATTTTATTTTTATTTTTTATTTTATTATTTTTAATGTGCCTTCAACAGGCACCAGGCCCAATTACAGAAGTACACAAACACAAATACACAGCCATACCCCTGGTGGGATTCGAACCCACGACCTCTCGGCTTGTAGTCCGCAGTCAAAATCAAAATCAAAAATCAAAATCAATATATTTCTAAATTAAAATAATTACAAGTCATAAAAAGGGTATATAATAAAAGGCCGCAATGTGGTGATGTGGTTGGCTGTAAAGAGGCGCGTGGAAGTGTGGTTCCAACTCTTGAGCCTCCCTGCGGTGAAGATGCGTGGTACGGGTGGTAGCAGCGCAGTCTTCCGACGGTCTTTGTCCCTTGTATTAGCCCTTTTTATTAGCATGGAGCTTGTCTGGCCTTTTCTCGCAGAGCGAATGTGAGGCCAGCTTGATCCGGGTAGAAGAATAAAGTCTAGAAAAATTTACGGAAAAAAGAATGGTGATGTAGTCCGCAGTGCTAACTACTACACCACCGAGGGCGTTTAAGGGTGAGGCGCGGCCTCAGAGGCCTACCCTGACGAGCCGCCACTGATTGACTGCCTAAAATCACGTGTACTTTTTTAACGAAATAATTTGTTAAACATTAACAAAATTAAAAATATGCTTAAAAAAATTGCGTATACAAAACTTTTGATAAAATATTTTACTTTGTTAAAATTATTACAAACCCTGATTTTCTTCAAAAAATTATGTTAAAATTTTACAAAATAAAATTAAAAAACTACAAGCTCAAGTTAATAAATATGATTTTTATAACAGTGTATACATATATAAAAACTATATTTTTTTGAAAATTTATTCGTATGGTCGGAATAAAAAATAAGATTTTTTGCATTTGAAGATTGCGT